GCACCCGCGCCGTGTCCCGCGTAGCCGCCTCCGTCCTGTGAGCCCGCGTGTGCGTGTGTGCCTCACGCCGGGACCTGACTCCGGCGTGTAACTGCACGTGTGCGCAGTTCGTGCACACATGAGAGGAAGCCCAGAGCGTGCACGTGTCTGTGTGTGCACGGAGGCTCCCTTCGGGTCTCAGCCAGCCAGGCCGGTGTCCCCTCCCCACAGGGACACGCAGCGGTGAGCGGGAGGGGAGGCGCCTCACTCGTGGGCGCGCTGTTCTCCACCCAGGAGCCCAGGTCCTTGGGGACCGGGGTGGGGCCCAATCTTCACCTCTCCCCGCTGCTGTCCCGCATTCTATGACATGCTCAGGAGACCCCCAAGACAAACCAGGCGTTCAGAGCCACCTGCAGCCCCCTGAACTGGAGGTCCTCCTCGTCCCGCTCTGGCCCTCCTCCCGCACTCCGCATCGAGGTCCCGGGGCCAAGTGGCAGAGACGGCGGCCTTGTCGCCGCGGCCCAGGCTGCGTCAGAGCCAGTCCGGTCCCCTCCTGTTCTGTCCCCTCAGCGGCCACCCGTTCCCTCTGGCTCCCGGCCCAGTGGTGCGCTTCTGCTTCCTGCCCTGCCACTCAGGCGTGCTGGGCTTTGCCTGGCCAGTCCTCCTCCCTGCAGCCGCAGCTCCGTGAGCTAATGCTGCCCGCTACCCTCAGGTTGTTTTGGTTTGGGTTTTCTTTTTCTTTTTTTTTTCTCTTTCATCTTCCTATTGCCTGGGTTTTCATTTTTGACACATGCTCATGCTAGGTAGTTCAGGCAGGCCTTGAACTTGCAAACTATCCTCCTGCCTCAGCCTCTATTGAATTCTGCCTGCTGCCTTTGGGCCCATTTTGGAGAAACAAAAAGCTTTAGGAGAAGCCACCCCTGAGGGCCCTCACCCCAAGCCCGTGGCCCCAGGAAGACCGAAGCGCTGCTGCCAGGTGGCGGTGCCGTCTCCCCTCACTGGCCCGTAGAGGTGTTTGGTAAAAGCCACTGTGGTCCTGAGGCTCCTCTGCCTGTCTGGGGGGCCTCCTCTGTCTGTCTGATGCCCTGTGTCATGCTGTGGATGTGTTCCTTCAACAAGCGTTGCTGAGCTCCTACTATGTGCCACATGTTGAGGCTCTTCCTGTTAGCTGCCTGGACAAAGCAGAAGGAAGCAGGAAATCGGGGTTTGGTGTTCTCTTTCCCTCACTGCAGAATATCCAGATTGGTATAGTTGTTTTTGGGGTTTTGGGGGCTTTTTTTGTGGCACCAGGGATTGAACTCAGGACCTTGAGCTTGCCAGGCAAGCACTTATTCCACTGAGCTATCTCTCCAGCCCCCAGAGTGGTATAGTTTCAACCTGTGGTTGATATTAAAAAGCACTCATTCTTCATACAGTCTCGGCCCCCCGGGGCGGGCCAGTGTGCACTTTGTCTCAAGGTGTTCCATCTGGAGGAGCCCGGCCACCCCCTGCACCTGCTGGATGTCAGTTTGCAGTGAGCGTGGACAGACAGAGAACCATGGGAGGTGGCAGTCCGAAGGGGAGAGTGACAGTCCTGCAAGGGGGAGCCGGGAAGCTGCCTGCAGAAGAGCATTCGGGCGCAGGGGCTGGCAGGTGCAAAGGGCCCACGGCAGCAGCATGCAGAAGCCAGCAGGAAGCAGGGGCCGCGGCAGCCTGAGTGAGTGGCCAGGTGGGGTGACAAGCGCCCCGAGGTGACCCCAGCTTTCCTAGCTGCTCTGGCCACTGTTGCCAGCTCCACCCCCAGGCCACCAGCACCTCACCACTGCCCGCCGTCCATCCTGCCGGCTCTACGCTAGGTGTCCCCTCCTCTCATCCAAGTGTCACCTGCCTTCCAGGCTGCCCAGGGGCAGCTGGTCACCAGCACCTGGAGGGCACCCACCGCCTTGGCCCCAGCCCAGCTCTTCATTCCATCATCCTAGGGACCAGGTCCTGCCCCTGAATTGTATGCACTCACCCTGCCTCCAGGATTCCAGGGAGGGCTGGCCTTGGTTGGTTGCCCCCCCCGGTTCTTTTTCCGGGTTTTTTTTGGCTTACGTTTTTTTCTTTTTTTTTTTTTTTTTTTTTTTTTTTTTTTTTTTGGCAGAACCAGGGATTCAACTCAGGCCCTTGCACTTGCCAGGGAAGCGCTTATTCCACTGAGCCATCTCCCCAGCTCCCCTCGTACTTCTTTTCAATTTTAATGTTCTTTTTAAAAATTGCTGGAGCCGGGCATGGTGGCGCACGCCTGTAATTCCAGCACTCAGGGGGCCAAGGCAGGAAGATCACTTTGTGGTCAAGGGTAGCTTGGGCTACACAGTGAGTTCAAGCCTAAACTGCATCGCGAGACCTTCTCCCCATGACTATAATGTAACATTTGCTGAATCCAGGGAGGTCCACATACTGGTAATCTCAGCTACTGGGGAGGCCGAGGCAGGAGGATTATGAGTTCCAGGCAAGCCTGAACAGTTTAGCAAGACTTCATCTCAGTATAAAAAGGAGTAGGGGTGTAGCTCAGTGGTACAGTAGCACATGCCCAGCATTTGATCCCGAGTAACAAAAAACAATAATAATGCTCATATTAGCATATTGAGACAGGTGGTGCAACAGCATTTCTCTTGTTTCTCCCTTATAAAACAGTTATGAGGGTCTGGGGAGACGGCTCAGTGGAATAAGCACTTCCCTAGCAAGTGCAAGGGTCTGAGTTCAATCCCCGGTTCCGCAAAAAAATAAATAAAAAATAAAAGTTATGACAAGGGCCAGCCAGATAGCTCGGAGGATTAAAGCGCCTGCTTAGGCAGATGAAGGGACCAGGTTCAATCCCTGATGTGCCATGCTGGCCCCACCCCTGGGGCGTGCAGAGACGGGATTGAGACTGGGCATGGTGGCTCGAGCCTGTAATCCCAGCGCTTGGGAATCTGAAAACAGGAGGATCACTAGGAGTCCAGTCTCTGCAGTGAGACCCTGTAGACCCCATACTAAATACATTTTTTTTAAAAAAGTTGTGACAGCGTATCTCTTTTGTTATTGTTGTTCTGAGTTTTTTTTTTTTTTTGGGGGGGTAAGTTCTCCCTGTGTAATTCAGGCTAGCCTGGAACTCACTTTGTAGCCCAGGCTGCCTTCGAAGGGATTCTCCTGCCTCAGCCTCCTGAGTGCTGGGATTACACTTGTGCAATGCCATGCCTGGTTTATTTTTGTTTTCTGAGACGAGGTCCTTGTTCTCATTCTGTCTAGCATAGCACAGAAAGGCCTTGAACTCTCCGGGATCCTCCTGCCTCAGTCTCCCCAGCGCTGGGCTCACAGGTGTGCGCCGCCATACCCGGCAGCATACTGAGTTTTGGAAGCTCGCGTGCAGGCCCATCGCTTTCAACTCTGCCTCAGCTTTGCGGAGCAGGTGTTGCTATTTAGTAGCCCGCACGCGTCCTCCCAAGGCTCCGGGGCGGCCAGGGAGTAAAGCGAGGCGCTGCTGCCCCCTGGCGAGCGAGGGAGCAATGGCAGGGGCTCCTGAGAAAGCCCTCAGAGATCTCCACCTCCTCTGCCGCTGCCACCCTGCCGCACCTCCTGCCAGAGCCGCTTCCGGGGTCCCCGCCTGCACTAGCTGTGACCCGGGCAAGGATGCGGCCTGGGCTGAACCGTGCAGTGCGCAATCCCGCAACCCAACCTCCCGGAGGCCGGGGCGCCGCAATCTCCCGCGCTCACATCGCGGTGCACCCCCAAGCTCAGCCAGGTACCAGGCACAGCATCCCAGCTGGGAGTAGGGTGCACTGGCCCCTGGACCCCAAGCCTGCCGGGAAGCCCCCACCCAGACTGAGAGCAGCCCCGAGGCAGAGGCAGGCGAGGCCGATAGAATAAATATAACTTTATTCTTTATCCAGTAGATCTCAGTGGAAAGTCCGACAGTAACAGGTGCACCGCGGGGCTCCGGGTCTTGGGGGCCGGAGCCAGCGCCCCGGCCGGTGCTGGGGAGAGGGGCCTCCAGGCCCGGCCTGCGGGGCAAGGAGGGGGCGCGAGTGGGGGGACTGGGCTGCGGAAGTGGGGCTCGGCCGTGCGCGCCGCCTGCTGTCCACAGTGCGCGTGCGTGCGTGCATGTGTGTGTGTGTGTGTGTGTGTGTTTGGGGCCCCGTGGGATGCTGGTGGCTGTGAGGCTGGGCGCGGGGCACCTGGGAACCCCGGGCCGGGCCCTTTGGATGCTGAGGCCCCAGGCTACCCCACCCCTGCTCATGGGCAGGGGCGACTTGTGGGGGCGCCCACACCGGGGCTCAGCTGCAGGAGGGAGCGCAGGCCTCGAAAGTGAGGACTTCACAGTATTAAAGAGAACCAAGGAAGTGCGGCTGCAAGGGCCTGGGGAACGAGATAGGGAGAGGACAGAGCCCTAGAGACCCTTCCACCCTGGGCCACCACCCAGCTCTGGGTCCAGCTCCCCCCAATACACAGCACAGATTCCTTCAGTATAAATGTGCTTAAAATGAAAATTCTTATTTAAAAAAATCAAAACCAAAAAAAAAAAAATTAAAATAAAAACAAAACCAGCGAGAATTAATACCTGGGGGTTGGTATGGCAGGGTATGTACAGGGGGGACCCCTACCCGGCCACCCCTCTGTCACCAACCAAGGCAGGGGGTCCCCAGTGGGGAGCGATGGCTTGTGAGTTCGGGCGGGAGCCAGGCCCCGCGCCTGCTGGTGCTGAACATGGGCGCAGACGGCGGGGGGTCCACTCGTCCATGCGGCCACCACCGCCACCAGCTCCAGCTGCGAAGTGCGCAGTCCGTCACCATCGCCTTGGGCCAGCCTAGGCCTCCTTCCTGCATCAGCGTCACCCAGAAGGTCCCTGGTCTGTCTGGGCGGACAGGCCAGTCCGGGCTGGCTGGCGTCGCATGGTCGGTGGAAGCCAGAGAAGCCGGAGCATGGAGCAAGGGCTGCATCGTCCCAGCAGTCATGATCACGGTCAGGGCGAGTGGGTGGCCGGGCTGCTTCTGTTGGAGCTGGGGCTGAGGCTGGGGCTACAGCTGCCTGGTGGCGGCGCTAGGCCACCCCCATCGCGCCCCCCGCCCCCCGGCTGTCCGCTCAGCGTGTCCAAGCCCTCGGAGTTCTCCAGCATCTCCTGGATGAGCGGCGGCATAGAGCCCGGGATCTCCATCTTCAGGGTGATGACGCGCTCAGCGCCTGGGGGGTGAGGCCTGGTCAGGGTGCCACCCCAGGCGGGGCCGTGGGCACTGCTCTGGCTGCTGAACACCTCAACCCAGGGCATGGGCAGAGGAGCAAGAAGCCTCTCAACACTACCACCAAACCGGCTGTGGTACTGGATACCTGTGAGCTCAGGTGAGGGAGACTGAAGCAGGAGGGTTGCCTTAGCTGCAGGCCCGCTAGGGCCCAGAAGGAAGAGTAAACACTGTCCCCAGTCCTGGGGTGGGGAGCTAAGGCTCAAAGCTCTAAGTGACCTGAACCCCCAGACACCCACATAACTTGGCTCCAGAGCTGTGCTCAGAAGTACCACCCAAAGGCACAGAAGGGGACAGGTGGGGCCCTGGCTCACCCTTAGCACTGATGCTTCGCAGGTCGGTGATCTTCATGAGCATCTTGGGGAACATGTGGGGGCGGCTAGGCCTGCGCTTTCGCACGTAGACCTTCAAGGCTTCAAGCAGCGGCTCCTGCAGCAGGTCCACTCGCTCTGGCTGCTCCAGGTCTTGCCGGTCTAGGTGCCAGGGACACAATTCAGCTGCACTCCCGGCCTGGGCCACCAGGAGGCACACTTGCGCCGGCCAGGCTTCCCAAGGGTATGAGGGGGGATGGGACAGTGGCACTGCGGGTTGGGATCCCCTAGCACGCTTGCAGAGGGAGGAGTCCAGCTGGCTGCCCTCTCCTACCCTCTCTGTTCAGAACACCTGAGTGACAAGATAGCTATCACAATAAAGGCCTGTCATCCCAGTACTCAGAACGCTGAGGTAGAAGGGTTGCTGTGAGTCCAAGGCCAGCCTTCAGGACACAGTTCAAAGCCAGCTTGGACTATGTAGCAAAACCCTGTCTCAGAAAACCAAAAATAAAACCTTAGATGTGATACCAACAAAAGCATGTTAACCACGCTACGTTAACCTGGCTCAATGAGACAGAAGCTGTGGTCTCACTGGGCAGAAACAGAGACTCCGAGCAGCTCAGCAGCCTGTCCAAGGGCACACGAGGCCAGGCCTGGCTCTTCACCCGCTGCATGAGCGCTGCCCAGGGATGGGAGCCCAGCGCAGGCCACCCCGCCCCGCCGCCCTGTGCCTCGGTGCACCTGGGAGGCCGTCCGGCTGCCTGCTTCTCCAGGCCCAGCCTGCCCCAGGCCCACCCACCTCCACAGATGAGGCAGATGGCGCTGAGCAGCCCGGTCTCCGCATCGTCCATCTCCAGGGGCAGCAGCTGGTTGGCGAAGGCAAAGACCAGGTCGGTGAGGGGGCCGAAGCCAGCATTGTGCATCTGGGTCCGGTTCAGGGTCAGCCCATCGGAGAAGGTCATGGTGTCTTGCTCGGGTGTGTACCGCGTGCAGATCCGCAGGATCTGGGGGTGCAGAGCACAGCTCAGAGCTTGTCCCCCACCCCCGCCCCTCAGCTCATACCCCCCAGGGGACCCGGCTATGGGTGGGACCTCGAGGTGACTGAAGGCCCACCAGCCCCAGGTGGCCCAGAGCCGGTGACGCCGTTAATGCTCCCAGGGATCTGAGCTGAGTGCAGCTGTAATTAATCAGTCACATGGGTGACAGCCCTGCACGCAGCGCACATCTAGGTCACCCTGAGTCCAGCGGGGAGTTAGGGGAACCCAGTGTCCGGAAGGCAAGCACAGCAGCCCCAGGAAGCTGTCCTCGCTCAGGCACCTGCACCCCGCTGCTGCCCCTCCCCAGGATCCCCTTCAGAAGTGTCTGAGAACAGGTGGCCCCCTCCCTTTGCCACCCCCAACTGCAGCAGGGGCCCCAGCAGCAGGTCCACTGGCTCCTCCTTGTAGAAAGGACACCTAGCCCCGCCCCTTCTGTAGCAGCCCAGGGACACTGCCACTGAGGGCTGTAGGGCTGTGTCAGGCAGAGGCCGGCCCTTGTCCCTCACTTATGTGATCTGCACTTATCGTCTAGGTCACATGAGGGGGAAGGTGTCAGGACGGGTGTGGGCGCTCAGGACCAGCTGGCAGCCAAGCGACTGCTACAGTCAGATGCGGCAGCTGGAGAGCCGGGCAGAGGTGGGCATCAGGATGGACACGGGCGACACCGGGGCCGTGCACAGGGAGGGCAGCTGGCGGGCAGCAGGGACACACCAGGATGTCCAGGCAGGCAGCCTTGAGGAGCGTGATCTGGTCGGCGATGGTGAGCGTGGTGAAGCCAGGCAGCTGCTTGGCGAACTCCACGGTCTTGATGATGCACTTGGTCGACAGCTCGCTGAACTTGTCCCACAGGTCGATGTCCAGGGACACGCGCTGCTCCGAGCTGTTGTTCTGGGGGGCGGGACAGTGAGCACCTTGCCCGCCCGCCCGCCTGCGGGCCCAGCTGCCCCAGGAGGCAGAAGAGGGGAGGCCCAGGTGCTGCAGCTGAGGGGTGCCCGCCAGTGCCCCCACCTGCCGCCAGCCGTACCGTAGTGTATTTGCCCAGCTGGCAGAGCGCCGGGAAGGTCTCCTGGTGCGCTTTGCGCACCTTCTCGATGAGCTCCCCGACCTCAGGCGTCAGCGTGCAGCTCTCCGAGCTCTCGGGCTTGGGTGCCTCCTTCTTCTTCTTGTTTCGGTCGTTCCGCACAGCTGGGGGGCAGGGGGTGGGTGGGTGGTCAGGGGCTGGCAGCCACCAGGTCCAGCCACCCGCCCGGTACACACGCACACATGTGCATGCGCAGCATGATGCGGCACCAGCTCTCCAGGTCCCAACCCACACACCAAACCCTGCCCAGGGACCCTGCACACCGCCCGGCACCAGGGCAGGAAACCTGCAGGCCGCCCACCTCCTGTCTCCTGCCACCCCTGCCCTGCAAGAAGGGCCACGGGCACACACCCACCCCCACCTCCTGACAAGACAACAGCCAGGAATTCCTGGCATCCCGGGGACAGACTCAGAGCAGCTCCCGGGGCAGCCAGAGGCGTTAGTGGGGCTCCCCAGCCCAGAGTGGGGGGTAGTGGGAGAATCTCTGGGTGCATCAGCTGGGAGCTGACAAATCACCAGGGGCGCTGAGCCACACACACCACTCAGCTTTAAAGAAGCAATGGGGTCGTTACCAGCCGATTATCCCAGACACACACAATCACTCGCTGGGGCCATGGCAGTGGCTGCTGGTGAGGAGAGGATGGGGTGGGGGCGGGGCTGGGGAAGGGGGACAGCATAATTTGGAGATCACTCATGTCGATTCTGCAAATTCAATAAAGTGCAGGGAGAGCAGGGAGAGGGAGAAGGAGAGGGGGGATAATTTGGGAAGAGAAAATTGCAGCTGTGACAAGACGTTTATCATTCGGAAGCTTTAATTCTATTGAAATGGCAGCTGCTCGGCTCCGGGGCACAGAGCAGCCAGAGAGGGAAGGAGGGAGAGAAAGGGGGAGCTGTGGTCAGGGAGGAGAGGGGTCCCCACCCTGGTCCGTCTGCAGTGAAAAGGGCCTAAGGTGGCCCACAGAGAGGAGGCCTGCAGGTCCCAGGATGCTGGTCCCTCTGGGCGGGGGCCACACACTGTTCTCCTGCTCCAGGTGTCTACACCCAGGTTCCCCCATCCCCTTCTGGGGCTCCGGTTAGAGCCATCTCTCCCCTCATCCCCCTCCCACTTCCTCTCCGCTTCCCTCCCCACAAAGGCCTGGGGGGTTCCCGCAACCCCCCTCCCCCACCCCATCCCCCAAGGCTCAGGCTCCATGGCAACGGCCACGCAGACAAGGAGGCGTCTGTCAGCGTCATTTATCTCTGACATCATCAATCACCGGTCACCACAGCAACACCCATGATTCAACACTAGAGGGTCTCCCTGACTGGCCGCCCTTCCCCGCCCTCCCTGCTCTGGCTCAGCTGGGCCCACTGGGGACACCCCAGCCCTGAGGAGCCCAATTCACTCTGGCCACAGGCTTCCTCAGACAATGGCTTCCGGGTGCTTGTGCAAAGCATAGCCCTGGGTTGAGGTCCTGTCCCTAAGGAGGCTCCCAGCCCTGCCACAAGGCCAAGCAGGCCTGGAAGGAAGCCACGGGGTGTAGAGACATGCACACATGGTTACGTGTGTGTGCACGTGAGCGGGGACCCACATGCGGCCACACAGCCAGCCACTGGAGGCCCAGCCTCTGCCACACACTCCTTGCACCCTCAGGAGGGGGCCCGCCTGCACCCCATGACACTCACATTCCTTGGACATGCCCACTTCGAAGCACTTCTGCAGCCGGCAGTACTGGCAGCGGTTCCGGGTCACCTTGTTGATGATGCAGTTCTTGTCCCGGTGACAAGTGTACACCATGTTCTTCTGGATGCTTCGCCGGAAGAAGCCCTGGGTGTGGAGGGGAGGGAATCAAGCTTCTAGGCCTGGTGGCTGGTCACCCACTCGGGTGGTGACTGCACTGAAGAGGGCCTTGCAGGGAGCCCTGGACCCGCCGCCTCACGCCCCCGTGCACTGTCTTTTGGGAACGTGACTTTAGCAGGGCTGGAGAATCACAACAGGGACACCTGGGGCTGGACGCAGGCAGCATAGACGCCTGGAACCCACAGCCCTGGTCCCGGAACACCGGACGAGGCCGTGAGAGCAAAAGGAGGGCACACGGGCACACACGCACACACTCAGGAGCCAGGTGCTAACCTGGTGGGGTGCAAGGACCAAGTGGGGGGAGAACTGGGCTGCCACGGGTGGTGCACAGAGTGACTCTGAGAGACAGAGCGATGGACAGCCGTGGGGGAAAGCAGGACCGAGCAGGCAGGAAGCAGCACTCTGTGTGAGGCCCGTGTCACCAGCGCCTGTCTCACCACCGTGGATGATGGCTGCTCCGGGCCAAGGGGCGGCCCAGAGCCCAGAGCCCAGAGCCCAGAAGCTTTTTGTGGTGGTACCAAGGCCAAGGACTGAGGACCAAGAGTGCCGAGCACCACTGTCCCTCTACTGTGCCTCCAGACAAGGGTTTTCTTAAGTCGCTCAGCCCAGCCTTGGACCTAGGACCCCCCACCACCACCCCAGCCCGCAGCTGGCTCACAGGTATGTGCCACCAGCCCCATGTGCTGGGTAGAGCATGTGCCCCAACCCCAAAGAACCCAGTGCAGAGGCTGCGGCTCTGGAGACAGGTGAAGGGGACACCCAGACCAGGGACACCGGGAAGGTACAGCCGCCCACGCAGGCACCCAAGCCCACAGCCTGGGCACGTGAAGATGAGGCCAGGGCAGGGCGCCTGCTTCAACCACCTTGTGCCAGGATGCCACAGCGAGGTTTAGGCAGGGCCGCAGAGGGCAGGCCTCCCAGGTCCCCAGCCAGGAGCCCTCAGCAGCCAGCTCATCATGGCAACCTGGGCAGCGGTGGCAGAAGGGGTTCACACTCTGCTCATCATGCAGGAGGCTGGGTAGCAGGTGTCCCCTTTCTGGAGCTGCTGCCAACTCCCCAATAAATAAGACCCTTCACCCCCAGACTGAGCACTTGGGCTGAGGCAGCAAGTCCTGCCACTGGCTAATGGAGACAGCCTTTCCAGGGGCGAGGACCCATGGCTCACCTTGCAGCCTTCGCAGGCACTGACCCCATAGTGGTACCCTGAGGATTTGTCCTGGCAGACAAAGCAGGGCTTGTAGATACGTGGCAGGGGTGGCGGCGAGGGCGGGCTGGGCACAATCTCTTCAGAACTGCTGCTCTGGGTCTCGATGGCTACAGAGAGAGAAGGTGGCCAGTAAGACCCAGGTTTTTGCCCCATAGCCTCCTGCTGTCCCCTAAGTCCCCTTCCCACCCCCCATCACTCCTGTCCACGTCCCTGGGACCCCACTTTCCACACCAGGAAACCATCGGCTGGGTGAGTGGGTGAGTACACACACAGAGCTGGATTTGGGGGCGCAAGGTGGAGCCCCCAAAGCCTTGGTTGGGTCACCCTGGCTGGGCTCCCCAAGATAGGAAGGAGTTAAGGCTTGAGAATGAAGGCGGGAATAAGTAGGAGCCAGGGGCACAGGAAACTGGGGTCAACAGGATATTCATCGCCTGCTACTCCCTCACCCCTCGGTTTCCGCCCCCCTCCTGCCCCCTCTGCTAGCAGCCCCAGCCCCTCCCCCACCCAGACAACCAGGGAAGAGTCACAACTGTGCAGAGGGGAGATAGGTAGGTAGAAGACCCCCGGAGACAAAGAGCCCCCAGGGCCCCATCATCTGGGCGCCCACGTCTGGGGGAAGCGGCACCACAAAAGGGGTCTGTTCCCATCAATGCTGGGTCTGTCTGGCCTCAGGGCTGCGTCCGGGTCCCACCCCTCCTGCCATTCAGCTCCCACAGGGCAGCCAGGAAGGGTGACCCAGCCAGCAGGGCATGGGTCGAACCTCGCTGCTCATGCCCTTGTGCCCATCATCCTGGGTGGACCCAGGCTGGCTTGGGTGGCCTATCTGAGCCCAGACCTGGGCATCCGGGGGCACAGGGTGCTAGGAAACAACCGCAACTGAAGTGCCCCAAATTCCTCGCGGGCCACCCAACAACCTCCAGAAGCTTTTGCCATTTGCCTGGGGCCAAAGACGGGCCAGGGTGTCCCACAGTTTCCGGTTTCCTGCCAGCCCCACCCCAGTGCCCACAGCCCAAGAGTCTCAGAGGCACAAGTCCTGCAGCCACCAAGTCCAGGCCAGTGTCCCCTGCCCCTTACCTACAAATGCCATGCAACTACCAGGCGGCTGGTGACAGGAACCATGCCAGCAGCCTTGGCAGGGCTCTCGGGACTCCCGCAGGCCTGGGTACCACCTGCCCGCTCAGCCTTGCTCAACAGCTCTGCAGTAGCTGTGTCCCTGTAGCAGCGGGCCAGTTGCTGGGTACCCCTTGGGGCCTACAGAGGAGACCCTGTCCACTCTGGTGACCTAGCAGCCCTGGCTTGATTTTTCCTGAGCTCATCCTCCCCAAAAGACAGAGGGGCAGGGAGGCCGGGAACAGTTGCCGGGGAAGGCAGCTGAGGTAGAGGGTGAGCCACAAAGGAACTCTTTGTTGCGCCAACTTTTTCCAAGACGTAAAAGCAGTAACAATAGACAATCTGGGCTGGGGGGGGGCACCAAGGACAAGAGGTGGGGGCCCTGGTCAGTCAGCATTCCAGACAGCAGTGGGGCCCCAGGCCCTCCTCCCCCTGTGCTGGCCCGACAGGAGAGGACAGGGCTTCTGGGCTCCAAGCACAGGGCAGGGCAGGGGGGTGGGGCCAGAGATGGGGACACCCCAGAGGCACAAAGGCCCACAGCACACTGGGGCTGAGCCAAGTCCTGGGGGGCTGGTGGAGCCCAAAGAATGTGCTTTTGAAGTTTTGACAGGACCCGGATGGATGACCCCAAGGCCCAGCCAGGGTGGGCCCGTACAGAGAGCAACCCCCCCACCCCTCTCCACCTGTTGGCCAGGTAACAAACACTGAGGTTTCCTGCTATGCCCTTTGATCCCAGCAGTCCCCACCTTCCCAGGCCTCGAGCCAGCAGCTCCCAGCCAGGGCAGGGGTTCAGAACCCCAAGCGGCTGTGCACACACGGGAGGGGAGAGAAGGCGGCAGCCCCAGCCTGGCCCCTCCCCGCCACGTCCCCGCCCCGACCGAGGCCCCAGCCTGCAAATCTCTCCTCTTCCTGCTCGGCTCCAAGTGCAGAAGGACCACACCTTCCCGGCTCAAAGTTCCAGTGCCCAGCAAGAGCTGGACGCAGACCAGGAGCCCAGCGTCCCGTGCCCTCCCCTCCCCCTGGAAGGGGTCCCCACGCCCCGGTGTGACCAGCTCTGCCCGCATGCTTGCTAGGGGCCGGTTTCCTGGAGGCGATTGACAGGAAATCGGACGGCCCCGGCCAGCCAGTGCACCCCTCCCTCCAGCTCCCCGCAAATCCCCCCCAGGGGCAGGAAAGGCACAGGCCCCCCACTGCCCTTCCTCCTCCAGGAGGCCCCGTCCCGTGGACCCCCATAAGCATCGCCCTCCCTTCCCCCACCACAGCATCCACGTGCTTTGCATTCTTGGGCGTCTGGGAGCTGGGCAGCAGAGCCACATCGTGAGCACCCCTGGCCCTAGTGCACTGAGATGGGCTCTGTGGCTCCCCAAGCCCGGCTTTCCCCCTCACATCGTGGTGGCAGGGAGAGTGCGCCTGCCCAAGGAAGGGCTGCACGGTGACTCCAGTCACCTATGGGCCTTCCCTGGTGAGGGGTGCTTGCCAAGGCCGCAACTCTGGCCCCACACACTCCACAGAGTCTAGTGGCCACACTCAAGCCCCAAACCCCACACACAGGCTGCTGGCTCTACCCTTCCTAGGCCTGGCTGAGACATCCCTGTCTCTGTCCAGGGTTCAGAAAACAGGCTGCGGGCCCCTCTCCAAGGTTCTCCTCTGAGCTCTGGGGCCAGGAACAGCTGAGCTGTCCCCAGGGGACAAGGAAGAACAGAGCTGAGGCCCAATGGCTCAGAGGAAGGGGAGGGGGGCTGGCAGCCCTGCTGTAATCCCCGGGGGAGTCAGGGTCCCTTCCCTCAGTACCAGATAGTGCACAGTCCTGTGTCACCTCGGCCTTTTTCCAAAGCTGAGAACAGTAACTCCTCCCTCCCAGTCCCAGCCTCCCAGCCAACTTTGCCCAAAGGCAGAGGTCAGGAGCCAGGACAATAGGAAAGGGGGGTGAAGTGTCCCTGGGAGGACGAAGGTGGCCTTCTGTCCCTCCAGGGCTCCATGAATCCAGAGGGGCTGTGGGTGGAGCCGGTCCTTGGCCCTTAGGCCTTCCCCAGTCAGCCCCTTTCCTGCCCACTGGCAGGCAGGCAACAGCAAGTCTGGGAAAGTGGGGGGGAAGGGGGAGCCTCCTGGGAAGAGCTGAGCCCAGCGCAGGGCAGGACTTGAAATCCGAGCCGCCTAACAATAACTCCGCACCTGCTCTCCCAGACACCGGTGCAAGGACCTCCTAGCCCGGCACCAACACGCCCAGGTGCACACCCAGGCCCTCCCTCCCGGAGAAGCAGGTGCCGGCTGCCAGGACACACGGTCCTCCACTAGGGCCACCCTCAGAGGCAGCACCAGACTGGCCCCATCCATTCCAGCACAGGTAACAAAAGGACTCAGAGAAGGTGGGGTTTGGAGGGGTTGCACCCTCATTTCCAGAGCAGTCCCACACCCACCAGAAGCAAACTCCTCCCCCAGAGAGCAGACCAATTAGCATTAGGGGAGGGGGATGCACTCCCATCCATGCCTGCGAAGGAAGCTCTAAGGGCTCCGGAGAACCTCTGAGGGCCAGTGCCCCTCCTGGAGATGGAAAGGCTGGCCAGGGTGGCAGACGGGGTCTGCAGCTGCCCCTTTCTGCCACACTCCCAGCCACCCACTTTGAAGTCCAGGGCTGGGAGCAGTAGCTGTCACCCAGGAGGAAGGCTCCTCCAGGCCTTGGAGGAGTAGGGCTGGAGCGACAGTCTGTCCTGGGAACCGAAGAGCCTACCGGTTGGTCCTTACCCCCACTCCATCCCACTGTGCGGCTTAGAGACGCGAGCAAGAGAGCAAGATGCCCAAACCTGGGGCCAAGGGCTGGACTTCACGTCCCCTAGCAAAGTGGAAGACGACGCAAGAGTGTGTCCTGAAAAGAAGAACCACAAAGTTCCTTGCCCCAACACAACAAACAGCACCCCGGGATTACGGAGTTGGCCGCTGCACAGCAGGGCCCCGAGCTACAGCCAAAGCTGACCCAAGGTGGAGGACGGCGCGCCCCGAGTGTGAACCCACAGCCCCCACCCAGCTCCTGCCAGAGCCGCGCGCAGGCCAGCCCAGTACCTACAGTGGTTCGAGCCGTTCCAAAGAGCAGTCCGAAGCGGGGTGGAGTAGGAGCCGGGGGCCGGGAGCCCCTTTTCCGGGAGCAAACAGGCACGGTTCTGGTTATAAAAATCCACCACCAGAAAAGGACTGGGGGCGGGGGCGAGCCCCCCCACTTCCACGCTCTCATACATCGCCCCGCGCGCAGTTGGAGGTCCGGGCGGGGTGCTCCTGCGCGCCACTCCTCACTCCGCCGGCGACGCCATCCGGAGCGAGGGCCACGTCCCTGGCCCCGACCGGCGCCCAGGGCAGCAGGCGCCCCCGCCCCAGGGCCGCGTCTGAGTCCGGGTAGGCGCGGGAAGTTGCGCGCGCAGGGAGGGGTTCTTCAGCGCTCCCCAGGGACGCCCGGCGGGGGCCCTGCACGCGGCGGCTTCACCTCGAGGGGGCTCCCGTCGCGAGGATCCGGCGTCCGAGGTAGAGTCCAGCGGCTGCCCAAGTCCTCAAACTGGGGCGGGATCGGCCCAGGGAGGGGGCGTGGGTCACCGAGAACTTCCTCCCGCCCGCAGGGGCTCCCGGGCTTCTCTGCTGCTAGGATTCCGGGCGGGGTGGGGGTGGAGACCCCGAGCGGCCCCGCCTCCGCTAGGCCTGGCCCGGTTGCTCGCCCCTCCCCCTGCCCCGCCCCCACTTAACCCTTTCCTAGTCAGGCTGCGGACCCTGCAACGCCGGGAGGCCTTGGGAAGAGCCGGTAAGGGTTTTGAGGAGCCCGCAAGTGGGGGCGCTTCGAGGGGGAGGAGATCAAAGGGGCAGGCTCTAAAGGAGAAGACACCACGCGCAAACTGACGGCGCAGGCCGATCAGAGTAAAAGCAAGGCAGGGACGGAAGAGGGGCGTAGCCCCACTGCAGTTCCATCCGCCCCCGACCTGGGACCAGCCCAGCCCCGCGAGGTCACAGAGGTACGGTG